AACTGGTTTGAGTCTGATGGAATTTATTAACATTTAAAGAAAGAATGTGAGGCTCTGAAGGACGGATTGGGAATCTCAGAGGCATTCCACATGGAAGCATTTGCAAAGCCCATAATCTCCAAGTCCTAATGCACGAAGGATCTCCAAGGTGGAAGGTTGGAGGGATTTTCTGCGAAGGAGTGTTAGCTTTTTGTTTTCGTAGGCACTATTGCCCTTACTTGCAGATGTGAGGATCAGAGTGTTTAAAACTAATGCCTTGGGTACCCCTGGCTTCCCTTGCAGCAATTACATGCTACCCATGCCATCTCTGCTGTTTATTTAGAATTCCATGTAGGTCAGCCTCTAGCAACAGTATACAGTGGTCACTTAGAGATCAAGTATTCCAGTCCCTGTGGTCATTACTTCTTATGGTAAATTCATAAACTGGTATTTGAGTTTTGTATCTCAGTTCTATGAGCTTTGTAGATATGACCCTGCTCAAGGGATACATCTGCTCTTTGTGTTGACAAGATCGGCAAGACCTCAGAGTGGAGAAAATTCATCAAGACAATACATATCCCTTGGCCAGGGTGTTTTGGAGGGTAGCTGGAAGCCTCCTTTGGTGGGACAACCATCACCTTATGGCTACATTAAATCTTTTAAATTTCCATCCTAGTCACCCATTAAGTATTCATCACATCTCTTTCCTATTCCAAGGTGTCTTTGGTTGGATATTCCCCGAGGATGCCACTAAGATGAATAGTTGTGTGCAAATAAGATATTTGGGAGGTGATTTAGGAATCACCAATACAAAAGTGGAGCCAGGAAACAAGAAATGGGGAAAAGCCAGTAAAGTATATTGTATCAAGCAATATTGAAGGCAACTAGGCCTAATCCCAAAGACACGATGCAGAACATGACACAGAATTATGCACCTCCCGTCCTCACGGATAAGGAAGATGTATGTTTATCTGATTATTCCCATTCCTTTTTGGCTTAGGGCTGCTTCCTGGTGCACCAACTCCTAGCACTTTCAGACTGTTGGGGCCTAGAGAATGTCCTCAGGTGAGAATCTCAGGGTGTTTGGGTAGACCTGCAGAGGCATGTCCTAGAAAGGGGAGTGTCAGAAAGAGGCAAGGATGAAGAATGGGGCAATCAACGGCCTCTGCTCCAGGCAGTAGTTCGTGGAAGAATAAAGGACAACTGATATTCACAAATGCTTATAATGACTGAACATAACTCTAAATGAAAATCCAGTTCACTCATAGTGGTGAAAGCGATGGAAGATTTCAGATTTGGCTCCCATGAGGGCAGCAGAGGAGAGGAAGTGAAGGCAAATCTGAGCCCCATTCTTACTTCCTACATTCTCTGGAATTGGAGAAAAAAATGACTGTAGCAATTGACTTCCCCCAAGCAATGCTAAGTCAGAATGGAACAGTCTTGCCTTATATTTGCACAGTAAGTACTCACTTCAAGTCATGAATAGGTTCTGAGACATGAAGGGAAGTGATGGATCATGAAAGCAATTTTACCATAGGCTAATTGATATAAACAACACTTAAGTCCCTAGGCATCTGATCAATGTTATAACAAAATGACATTGAATGAAAATAC